AGAGAGCCAGGCAATGGGAGTGGGTGTGCAGGATAAACAGATCCAGGCACTCCAGGCTCGTTAATTATTTTTATTCAAATCGGAAAATCTTGTAGGAATTTTGGGGAGCTGTAAAATCAAACCACAGAACCTGTAAACTCTCCCCTTTTCCCTCTTGGGCCCACTGAGAATAGAGCACATGAGTGCAGTGACTGCAAAACCACTGCAGTACCTCGGGGCAGCTTCCAGGAGCAGGGCGGGTAGCCCTCCTCTTTTCTCCGGGGGCAAAAGGAGGTGAAGGCAGCTCTGGTACCCACTTGGCAGGGAAGGCATCCTGACTGGCTCTGGGAGCAGCTATTAAAACCAGGGGTCATTCAGTCACATCAGCCTGGAGAGATCCTGCCATTTCCTGAAGAAGGAAAGAGGGAGAATTTAAATGACTCAGTGCCCAACTTCTCTTTCCCCTTTCACCGCTCACTTCTGCTGGTGGGGTCGGGAACGGCGGTACGGTTGCCACACTAGCCACCACAATCAGGTTGGGAAGCCCAGCTCCTGCTGCAGGCTCCCCTCCCCTGGGACTGACCTCCCTCAGCCTTCTCCTCGTGTCATCTAGAGGGGGAGAGGCACAGCAGAGGAGGAGAGGCAGACAGGACAAGAGGGAATGGCCTCAAGTTACGCCAGGGGAAATTTAGGTTGGATGTCAGGAAAAATTTCTTTCCAGAGAGGGTTGTGAAGTATTGGAACAGGCTGCCCAGGGAGGTGGTGGAGTCCCCATCCCTGGAGGTGTTTAAAAAACATGTGGATTTGGTGTTGAGGAACATGGTTTAGGGACCCTGAGAATGCAGGGGGAATGGTTGGACTTGATGATCTTGAGGGTCTCTTCCAACCAAATGATTCTGTGATCAGCATGTTTGATCCTCTCTCTTTCCTTTCACTTCCTCCTTCCCTCACCACGCTGTTCTCACCTTTTCTTCTTCCTGTCTTTTCTGACGGATTTGGTTCGCCTCTGCCCGTTCGTCTTGCTCAAATAATTCCTTGTCGAGGCGTTGCAGGTGTGGCAGCAGGACCAGGACCTCCAGCCGGTAATCGGGTTCATCAGCGCACGGATTGTCCAACAGCACCAGCACCTGCAGCATGGGAAGGACCTGCAGTTTTGCCACCTCCTGAAGGCTGCTGATCCCGTTGTTCCTGAAGAAGAGGAAGCACAAAGTGCGGGGGGAAAAAAGACACATGCAAGCAGTGAGGTCCCTTTGGAACAGCAAGCTGACCAGACAAAGCAAAGCTTTGCAGCAAGATAGACCGCAGACCTTAGACCACAGGCCTGTGATCTGAGATCCAGACCCGTCTGCAGCTCCCCAGACTGAGGGACAACAAGGACATCTCTCCTGGATTTCTCTGTGCTCCAGCAGCCCATTGAATTGGGCGATATCGCCATCGCTCTGCATGGCAAATGCCGAGAAGAAAAGGGCACTTGCAGACATGTCCAGGACAACGCAGGGAGGGATCCAAAGGAGTTATGGCAAGGAATTAAAAGTACAAAGTAGGGTGTGAGAGTGACTGGAGAGGCAGATATTTTCTCAGAAGCCCAGGAAAGGCCCTGGCTGTTACACTGCTGGGCAGCTGAGTGCTGAACACCAGTTAAGGACAGTAAAGAGCAACCCATCCCCATCAGGTCTTCAACTTCCAAAGAAACCAGAAAATCCTAAAGCTCTAAGTGGGAGTAGAGCCTGATGAAGGGGTCTCTGGTCCCAACACAGAGCAGAGAGGACCCACCGTAGGTTGAGGTACCGCAGGCACTTCATGCTACTGCAGAACCCATCGAGGATCTCAAGCTGGTTGTCACGCAGGTGCAGAGTTGTCAGCTGTCCTAGCCCCTCAAGACCTTCAAGGCTCCGAATGTCATTCTGGGCCTGATCACCAGGGAGGCAGGAAGAGAGAAGGGAAAAGGGGACACACAGGAGAGGGCACAGCAGTTATTTCTGGCCTTTAAAGCTCTTTCCACCCTTCAGACTCCCTACCACCCGTACCACAGCCGTCTCTGAAGCTGGAGCAGGTTGCTCAGGGGCTTGGCCACATGGGTTCTATATATTCAGATTCAAGGACCAAAAGTTTGCTGGAAAAGTGTTTCCTGTAGCGTCATTTGGTGACTGAGACAAACCCACCCCAGATGAATACTCCACTGCCAGCACAGCACCCCCTTCCATGGCAGTGCCAAGTCCGAGTCCCTCAGACAGCAACAGCCTGGAGGGGAAAGCACGGACCTGGGACTGGAACAACTGTGCTCAAAGGATGAGTAACGAGCCCTTCTCAATCACGTAGTCCAGGGATCTTCCAGTGTCAGCTGGTTCTCTTGTGGGAGAAATCTACTACCACGAAGTCTCCTCTTCTACTCCTCCAGGAGCAGAAGCAAGCCGTGTGTTCCTGAGAGACCTTGTAGGGGGGTGGTGGTTGTTGTTGGGTTTAATTTTAAGCTTTCTCAGGTGTAATTGTTGTTATCCATCCATAGGTGCACCTTCTCACAACAATCGCACAGCAGGAAGAACGTGTTCTGTCAGTTCAAAATTCCCCATCATTGAATTTCCTTCCCTTCACTGCGATGTGAGTTATGAGACGGGGAAATACGAAGTTCTGAATTTCAGCAACAGTGTCACAGCAGGATTTCGGCTGGAAAAGACCACCACGGTCTCCTGCCCAAGCCCAGGCTCCCTGCAGTGCTAGCACCAACGCTAGGTCAAGCTGCTCACTGCCTTGTGCAGCCAAGTTTGGAACGTCCCTGGTAACTAGAGGGCAGATTTAGATTGGGTATAAGGAAGAAATTCTTCCCTCTGAGGGTGGTGAGGCACTGGCACAGGTTGCCCAGAGAAGCTGTGGCTGCCCCATCCCTGGAAGTGTTCAAGGCCAGGTTGGATGAGGCTTTGGGCAACCTGGTGTAGTGGAGGGTGTCCCTGCCCATGGCAGGGGGTTGGAACTGGATGATCTTTGAGGACCCTTCCAACCCAAACCATTCTATGATTCTATGGACTACAACCTCCCCAACACGTTCTCCAGCCTGGAGCTGTGCAGGGCTCCACTTGGGACTGTGGCTCAGGTCTGCAGTCTCTGAGGACGCGGATACCTGCACTGGAAGCAGGGAGAGAGGTGCCGTTGTGCCCTCGGTTGCCTGTTGGTACCCAAGCGGTGACGTGGCCAACGCCTGAGACCAGTGAAAGGGGTACAGGCTGAACTGGTGGGATGGGAGAACAGTTTAGGACTGGATCACTCAGGAAAAGGACATTTTGTAGAAAAGGAAGACTCTGATGGAAACCGGACACTGAAAAGCCTGGAGCAGCTGAGCCAAGTAAGGAAGGTAACACAAGGGCAAAAGGAGGAAAGTGGGAGATGTAGCGAAGGTCGTGTGAACAGATTTAACACCCAGGGAGGATTAGTACATTGGATTTCAGAGGAAATCAGGAGCTGGTGTGGGAAATAGTGGGGGGAGCTCACAGACCACTGGTCTGTAAAACAAAGAGTAACTTCCCATCGCTGTCACTTTCTCCGTTACTTCAGTGCAAATAGTTTTAACAGCTCCAGCCCTGCAAGCACGAACAGCACAAACGTAGAAGGGATTTTTTTTTCCCAGAGTTGGTTTTTTTTTTCCCCCAAATCAAATAACATTCCGTAGGACACCTTTAATTAAACGATCACATCATCACCTTACCTTAGATACCAGTTCTTCACATAGACATGGTGCCACCATTTATTATGGAAAGTGACTACAACGTGTTCCAGCTCCTAGTCTTCCTGCTAGTAGGCACAACCATTTTAATGCTAAACTTCATCTGCAACTATGTCCTACATTAACCAAATTTGGTTCCATTCCTTTAAATCGAAACCCTTCGTCTTGAACTCCATCCTTGAGGCATCAGCTACATCTACCCCTGGCTCAAGTAAAACCAAAATCTTTATACAGAAAGCAAAGCACTCCTGGGAGAGACCCCCCACTCCAAAATGATGTAATGAGCACGTGGACATGGGAGAAAAATTCAAGCCCCAAAGATTCCTGAGAAATGAGTCAGTTGTTCTAGTTTTAATAACCACATCTTGCAATTTTTGTGCTATGTATGTGCAACTCAGAAATGCTTCAGTCATGCCAGGAACCTTCCTCAAACATAGGTGCTGTGTTTGCTTCCCTCACATCATTCGCTGAAGTGACTGGTTTTACTTTGAAATGCTGTATTGTATCCAGTGACTTATCCACTTCACCTCTTCTTTGAGCACCTCTAGTCCGAAAATCTCTGTTTTCCGCCAGAAAATTGCAGGCAGTCTCAGAAAGCAATCTCCTCAGTGTTTTCTGCCAGGGAGCCTTGATGAAAAAGAAACCTTATAGTTTTTCAAAGCCTTTGTCATCTTTAATTGCTTTTTAAGAGGTGGTGACTCAGGACATCCATCTAGTCTTTGCAAACTGTATGATGCATGGGACTAAGCCATCCATACTTTCTTCACTTGCGTCTCTGGGAGCAAATGTTCCCTGAAGCAATTGTTTACAATATTAGGAAATTGCTTCTCCTATCTTAGTTTCACTGCCAAGTTCAATCAGGTTCTTTTTCGGCAGCTGAGGGCGTGAATCATGTAATTGTGCTGTTTATAAACCAGTATTTGATCAGGCCCATCAGGGAGGAGAAAGAGGCATCGCCTCCCGCTGCCACCCAGAGCAAACCTCTCGCTTCCCCCACTGACTTCCAAGGGTCCCAGGACACATGGAACTGCCAGAAGAGAATATTGCTCTCCCACGGGAGGCCAGGAGAGAAGAAAACTGCCAACTGCCCCACTCTCTGCAGAGCAATTACTGGTCAGTGGCTACTGCCTTTGCGCCATCCGGGTAGACACCGTAGAAAGAGCTACCCCAAAGAAGTGATTTGTCTCTTTATAGAATCATAGAATGGTTTGGGTTGGAAGGGACCTCAGAGATCATCCAGTTCCAACCCCCCTTTAGCTCTCTGAAATCTGTTCTTCTGTCGGGCTGAGAAGATTGAACCGAACGTGCTGGCATGAAAATTAGGCTGCTTTGAAGGACACAGCGTCACCCTTCCACCCCTGACTGAAGGTGCCAGGCTCTGCAGCACCTCTGCCCCCGAGCTGGCTGATCCCTTACCAGGTAGAGGTTCTTGAGTCTGGGAAGATTGAGCCCTGCTGTGCTCTCTAGCTTGTTTCCTCGCAGCTCCAGGATTTGCAGGCTGAACAACTGGCCGTGTCTCATGCCCAGCGCTGTCTGGATTTTATTTCCTGAGTGCCAGAGGAGGAAGAAACAAGGAGAGAGTTAATCCCACCTAAAAAGAGCACCCTATGTGCACGAGAACGAAGAGAGGTGGTCAGCATCACCTTTCAGGCTGAGGTTGGCTAAGAGGGGATGAGTAATACCCTCCACATCCTTGATGCTGTTGTGAGCAAAGCTGATGATCTGGAGGTAGGGCAGCTCCTGCATGCAGGCGCTGGTGAGCAGATTCCTGTCCACCTTCAGCGAAACCAGGTGAGTCAGGCCGCTCAGTGGGGACAAATCCTGCAGCTTGTTCTCTGACAAATCCACGTACCGCAGATGAATGAAGCATTCGAGGAGCCTGATGTCTGTTAAGTCCCTGCGGGAGGGAGAATGTGAATAAAACATCTCTTGTATTTATTTCCCCCTGCTACCAGCTTTCGGTTTGCTCCTCACTACTACTGGAGGGAGGGCATCCTCCCTCTCCCACTTCCCTGCTGTCTCCCTTGCTGGAGAGAAGGAGGAAAAAAGCAGGTGACAGGGACAGGCCAAATAGTCTGCAAACAAGGCTGGATCGTAAGGTTGGACCTTCTTTCCTGGCACAGACAGCAGTTCTTCCCATTGAACTGCAGCTGTCGGGAGAGGGCAGAATCGGAGCAGAAAAGAGGATAAGTTTGGGGGATGGGTCTGTTAGACAGCAGTGGTAATACCAAGACGGTGTGGAATGACTTTCCTAGCGGGAAAAAGCTGGCTGAGATACCCACAAGGCTGCTGAAAGACTGAGGCCTGCTAGTTAGGTCTAGGGTTACATGGCCATAGTGGCAGGGCTGAGGTTCCAAACTGTCTCCAGGCCCTTGTGGCACTGGATTTACAAAAGGTTAGCACTTAACGGGAGAGATGCTTAACAGGTGCTTCTCAAAGTCACTGTGGGGGGGGTCACCCTGTTCAGGTCCCTCTAGGAGACCTGAGGGATGGACAGGCTCCCCTCAATCTAGCTGCTCCCACCAGTGCGTCTGGCTGCGGTGGAGGCAGCCCCCAGGATGGACAATACGCCGAGGCACAGACTGGAAGCTGAGCAGATGGAGATCATGGCCTGGGAACGCTCCCACCCCGCAC